ATATGTATATGTATATGTATATGTATATATATGTGTGTATGTATGTATATGTATATATGTATGTGTGTATGTATATATATATGTGTGTGTGTGTGTGTATAACATGTATGTATGTATGTATGTATGTGTGTGTGTGTGTGTATATATATCTATATCTATATCTATCTATCTATCTATATATATATGTATATGTATATGTATATGTATATGTATATGTATATATGTATATATAAAGTAGGAAAATCTCTGGATAAGAAGTGATCCAGGTGCTGTGAAAGGGAAACAATGATTGAAAATTATAATGCCTCCTACCTCATTTCTACCCATTGCACATACTGAATCAGAATATCTTACATTCTTGGAAGGCAGTTTAGTATCCAAGCTAGAGTGTTTTAAGTCTATGCAGAGAAAGCAGGAATATGAAACCACAGCAAGAGTTAAAGTGCAGATAGAGTGCAGGTAGGATACAAATTGAGAATGATTATATTGTTATTATCATTGTAGGTAAACACATCAGAGACAAGACATTAACCATGGAAGTCAAATCAGAACTGCCCTTCTTCAAAGAGGTCATGAAAAATAGGCTATAGTTGAATTTCATTAATGTGACTACAGCCTTATAATTTTTTTTTGGTACCTCGTTGGCAGTGATACTCAATGATAATATCCTACCATTCATCAAAACCAAGGGCTTTTAGCACCAAACTGCATTAGTTTCATTTTCATGGGAATACTTATTTCATTATCCACAGATTCCCACTTTCTAGATCCATTTTTCTGCAATGGTTGTATTTTATTTGAATTGACAAAACGTTTCTTCCTCAGATTATTCATACACAGCTTACTTGCAGCTTATTTATTTTTACATCCTATATTTGCATGAAAGAAACTCGTGAGGAATAAAACTAGCAAATCAAGAATAACAGTTAAAAAAATGCAAGGAATTGTCGACGCCGGTTTATACCAACCAGTCAGTTTATCATCCACCTTTCAACCAACTACTTTGTAATTTTATGAATAAAATTTTGTATTGCCAATCCAACAGAGGTACTTTTGATACACCAAAAGAAGTATAGAATAACTCACCGTTTATATAATAGCTGTTACTCATTCTTAAGAGAGAAACACCATTCTGAATCTTATCTTTTTCACTCTACAGTATTACTGTAACACTGAACAATAAAAAAACAGCAAGCCCTTTATCCACAGGCCAACCAATTAAAATCTGCCCTGTCTAATTAAAATTGACCTCTGCCAATTAATAAATGAAATCGTGAGTTGATTAATCTGCTGCTAAAATTAATTAGAAATGACAATTAATTAGAATTTTTTGTCTTGTCCCATACAAGACAAAAACAGTAACAAAAAGAATAACGATCCCCCCCACTAGTACTTCTGAAGCTGCAAAAACATACAAAGATCATTTGGCAAAATCACTGTGCTAGTTTAAAGTCAGATGCTGCTGCTGCTGCTGTTATTATTATTATTATTATTATTATTATTTATTAAGGCATTTTACAGATTTTTCAATGCAATTTTCTATATTGAATCTTGTACATGTATGCTATTAAATGGAGATCAGCATTAAAAAAGGAACAGTAAGCAAGGTGTTGTACAGTGGGTTTTAAAAAAGTTCTATCTATTAAGAGGAAAGTACAACAAATAAAAAATACTAAAAGCAAACATCTAAATCCATTTGGTACTCTCAATTAGAGCAGACTTACGGGTTTGGCTGAATTGCTGAACACTTATGATTCAATGGATCTGCTCCAGTTGAGACTACCAACTGAGTTCAGAATTCCACAGAATCCCAATGTACTTTTCAAAGCTCTTTTACATTTCTTAGTATGTGAACATGTTAATAGTCATAATCCTATTGGTGTTTCCTTGAAGTATGTTTAATTTCATATGTCTAAGTGTGTCAAACTGACAAGTTGCTGGGTTGAGTCTAAGTTGTATACTTAGTTGTGCTTAGACTGCACAATCAACATACACAGTAATCAATAAGTTATGGCAAGTTGCACAAAGCTTAGATGAACATCAATAGGATTCAAGACAAAAATTTCTATTTTCTTCAACCTGTTTTTTAAGCATATTAAAAACAACAACATTGTTTTGCTAAAGAAACTTTATAGATGTTAAAAGCATTATGTAAGAAGACTGTGGACTGTAAAATGTACTACGGCTGGAATAAATTTTCCTGGGTTGTGTGGTACACACTTACGAGGAATAAAATATTCATTCATTCATTCATTTGTATTTACCATATATTTGACTTCACCTAATTCTATCATAACAATTGGACATGTGTGAACATAATTACCATATTTTCCCATATGTAAGATGCTACTTTTTCCTAAAATCATTACATTAAAAATTGAAGGGCATCTTTTACATAGAAGTAGCTGAGATAGCTGAGGAGACAACAAAATGGCACACACCTTGCCTCTGTAAACAGGCTTCAGTCATGAGGCTTAGCTTCCTACAGTCAGGAGAATTAGCTTCCTCCAATCACGAGCCTTATGGAACTGATGTCAACTGACCCTGAACAAACCAATGAGAACACACCTCCTTGGAGGTGGAGTCTGTAGGTTCAGATTCAACAGAGAGTCAAAATATCCTGTGTTCTGAGCCCAGAGGCTGAATCCTCAAAGCCTGCATAATTAACTTGTAAACCGCCCAGAGAGTGCTTGAAGTGCTATGGGGCGGTATATAAGCAGCACACTTTGCTTTTGCTTTGCTTTTTTAATTTTTGGGTTAGAAAATTGGGGTGTGTGTGTTATAAATGAGTGTGTGTTATAAACAGAAAAATGCGGTAATGTGTCAACAAAGATCAACTGAAGCCCTTTCCCCAGATGTAGGAATAACTGAGATTTAGAGTAGTTTAAAAGATTTAGTTAAATGGTAATGGAAATTTGTACAGTGCCCATAATATCCTGGCTAAAAACTGAAACGTCCTCATATACTTTCACCTCACATTTTCTATTTTTGTCAACACTCACTTAGACTGCAAAGAGGGGTTTTTTTATGCCTGTACTGTGTTTCCCCGAAAATAAGACAGGGTCTTATATTAATTTTTGCTACAAAAATGCATTAGGGTATTTTCAGGGGATCTTTTATCCTTTTCATGTCCAACAATCAACATTTATTCAAATATAGTCATGTCATCTTCTGGTTGCTGCACAATGCTGTACAATGGTGGATGGCAGGGTTTCCCTTAACTGGGGCTTATTCTGGGGGTAGGGCTTATATTAGGAGCATCCTGAAAAATCATACTAGAGCTTATTTTCAGGTTAGGTCTTATTTTCGGGGAAACAGGGTAGCATATGAAGTATCTACTTATCTGCTGGATATGTGGTACAAAGTCTTCAGAGTATGATCCCAATTTTTAACCAAGCTTGTTTCAAGCCCACCCCTCTTTTCAATGCCTTTCATGAGTATGCAGTGCACACACGTCACTAATAGATGTATTTTAAAAAAAACGTTTCTAGTCAAAACATTCAAACCAATTTGCTTGAAAAGGAGAAATGCAATTTTGGGGGAAAATAACTAAATATTAGTCTCTTTCATAAGGCATTAGCTGGACAGTGGACTGTTATCTCAGCCTAAGTTTGAGAACCCCCCGCCCCCAAAAAAATCGAACACAGCAGCCGGTTTGAACTGGCAATAATAATGAGACAGAAAATATATGAAAACGCTTTTCATGCGGGCCATTTAGCTCTGCTTCACTCTTACCTTCCCTCCAGCATTATCACTGAGATGTTAGCTGTATAATTTAATAAATTTAAAACAGTTCATCATTCTTGGTCTTCTCCACATTCACCAGACATTGCTTCCCTTTTTTCCCCTTTGTAGCATGAACATTTATTAATTTAAACAATCACTCTTTTTTTGAAAAAGAAAAAGACTATTAAAAATGCATGACTTAAGGAAGGCTGCAAAATAAAGGCCTGAATGAGAAGGTGAGATAGCATCACAATGCAAGGCCACCACTGAATCAGTACTATGCATACCTGGTTTTTGCAACTATCACACTATGTTAATAGTTCCAGAACTCAGCTTTGGAGAGGAAAAATCTGGTTAAATTAAACAGTGGGATAAATGCTTCCAAATGTTTTCCACAGCCATTTTCCTCTACCATCTAGATGAAACTAAAGATAATCTTTTATTTGAACTTGAAGAACTATACAGAAGATAAATGCGAAACTACAAAGCACTAAGCAGCTATATTTTCTGTTATTAATTTTTTTTTGTTTAGTCCTACCTGTGGGTCAGAAAGCCGACTCAGGTCAGGATATAAATAGAATTTTATCCCTTCAGCTGCTCCAGGTAGTGTCACTCCTCGAATCAGCAGAATCAAGAGCATGACATAAGGGAATGTAGCAGTTACATATACAACCTATGAAGAAGAAAGTGAGAGAGACGAACAGATAAATATATTATTTTACCAATCAAAGGTTTAATTAGTCTTTCAAAACTATAGACAGAATGTGTTGTCTTTTTTCAGCTCAAGGATAGAGAATAAGAATATCAATGCCTAGGAGAATTAATAACTGTAGGTTTGTCATATTTTTTAAAATTTTGAGTTTCTAAGGTGTTAAAAGTCTGTTAAAAAGAGTGTAGCAATTTTTCTGTGATAATGACAGTATGTTTAAAAAGTATGGCTTGGGAAAGAGTTTACATTAGTTCTAATTGTTTTCAAAACAATACGTCACTTTCCAGTCAGCCTGAAAACAAAGTTAATGATATGGTAACTGTTTTGAAGAATTTCATTCTTGTCTGTCAGTTTAGCATGGATGTAAACAAGAATAAATAAAGGTCATGAATGATGTAACATTGTGGTTCATATGAAAATAGCATTTGCCAGTCCAATAGTACACCTTACTGGTGATCATAATAATTTAATTTAGCCATGATTTAGAATTCCGGAGCTTTGTTGATTACAAATACGTTTGTGCGTGTGTATGTGATAAGATCCACACCACTGAAAGTCATGTAGATGGAATGCATTTCAGAACTAGTGATGCATTCTTCAGACAAACAACAAAAAGTCAAAGGTACACAGCACTAAAATAGTATGAAAAGAAGCATATGTACATTTCAGAAACCCACTTAAATTGTTTTAATTACCAGGAAGGTGCATACAAAAATGTGCAGAATTTGAAATAAAAGCATATGGAATACATGACAAAAATCTATACAGAATGTTTCCATTAAAACCAAACATCCACAGCACATACTTGAAAGTAATTAAAAAAAACCTGTAGCAATGGTCTTAAAAGAACTGACATATCACCAAAGATTCAAGTACCTTGCCACAGAAAAAAGCACTGAAAATCAGCTGAAAGTTATGCAACCCATTAGGATTTAGAGAGCCTTAGACATGAGGCATTATTAACATTTGCCTGTTTTAGCCTTGTTGGAATAATGTTCTCTTCCATGTTATCCCCTTGGCCATTCTTCCTCTGGCTGCTTTTCTCAATTATGAGAGGCAAAAGTGGTTGGTCTCACCCCTAGCATTCGGTCTATATCCATGGGCTTCCCAAAGTGGAAAAAAATCCCATAGTGTTTGCAGAGGTTCATCTTCATTTCTATAGTTCTGCATAAACTGTGAATCCAAAGTGAAATGAATATGGGTGACATTGAGCACAAAGTATTTAGTTAACAAGCTACAGATTACTAAATAAGAGTTGCAGATAAACCGTCTCTTGATAAACCTCTAAAAAGAGGCTTACTGAAGGTTCATACGAACAGAAATACCAAGATCTTTTAATAGTGGTATTTACAGAAAAATCCATGTTGCAAAACTGTCAACTCTCTATGAGACTTCAACGGAAAAAAAAACAAAACCTCCTCATTGTCTCATGGTCAGAGGAACATTTCTCATAGTTTCTCATTTTGCACATAAAGATAAACCAGGAGATAGTTTCCATCTCAAGTGTAGCTGCTTAGGTACATCCACTGGGTGGTTGGGAGGAACCCACTGCATCTTCAGGAAAATAGCATTCTACCCCCCCCCTTTCTCCCCATTAAAGTAGTTTAATGTTTGGTGGAAATATATAATGAATCTGGGAGACTATAAGAGATTGTATGTTCAGAAAATAATGGGTGGCCATTCTCTCCCCTATATGTTTAGCTTCTTCCACTTATGTATGGAGGATGGGGGAAAGTGCATATCTTTGTTCCCGATACTGATCAGACAGAATATTTAAGCAATCTGAGCTGCAAGACACCCTGGTAACAGACACGGTCTTTTGACTTATTGTTTACAAGACATTAAAGCTGAATAATGTGTACTACACATTGGTATTCACTTACTGCTGTCACAACCCATGGTGTTATACCATGTCCACCTTTAAATCCAACTTGTACCCTTTGATTCTCCACATAATGACCTGGGAACTCATGCTATGTTTTACTGTGTGAAGAAGTGTTGTTCTTGTTATGATTGTGTATATCTTCATAACCTCTGATGGCTGCCTGTACTTTCTTCTCCCAACATGTCAAACTTCTCTGAATAAAATTAGAACAAAACCGTTTCTAATTACACTTGATACTGTTTTAATTGCCTCTAATTGCTTGGTGTATTAATTTGCATACCAATGCTCAAAATAGCTTCTCCACATTACGAAGCAATGTCAGTGTCTGTGCTGAGGAAACCAAACACATATCTAGCCTGTCTGGTTTTGCCCTATCAGATAAGATTTACCTCATTAACTGAAAGCTCATCTTCTAGATTAACTGATCAGCGATCATTGCATACTGTTTGCAATGTATCACATTTAACACAGGAGAAATAATATGAAGGTAAAGCAAACCTCAGGAGGACAATTCCAAAGAAAACAAGGATAACTCAATTTAGTGAATTTAGCCAGAAAAGTTAAAAATAGATTTTCTTCAGGCTATAACTATAATACAGTACAGCATGTCAGCTTAATGTTCACATACTTTATCACTGCAATATCAGATCAAGAAAGAAAGAAAATGGAGCTGGCTGTAACTTCTTTGCTTTGTTATATTGTAGCCTTAGCAGGTCATTTGAGAGTCAAATAATATTTTTTCTAACAGCAATTACTTATAATCTTATTTTTCTCATTTCAAGATGATTCATATCATGTCACTGTTAAAATAACTGATAACAGAAGCTTTTCATTTTGGAGTACAGTACAGGGAGTTAAAGTTATTATACCTAATTTTTTACAGACTACTTTTTACCTCATCTATAAGGAAACACCTCACAGGTCAACCTAGATACCATCAGCCAATGTCTAAGGACAAAGGATGGTGACAAGCTATGTGACAATGATTTCAAGACAAATTATCTTTAGTCCAGGATCAAGAACAAATATTCCATAGCCCAGTCATGACTGGTGCGGAGGGGTGGCCCCAGTTTGTTGATCAAATGGTGAATTCTGTTTTTTTCCCTTTCATACAGTGCCAATTTAAGCACTGGTTATCGTTTCTGGCTTGTTTATCAAAAATGAACCATTTTCTTCATATTACATTTAGAACCATATTGCAGAAACTGTAGATACATATTCCAGTCTTTCAATAATGGATAAATTATAATAGTTTCTTTTTTAAGCATAAGAAAAGCAAATGCTAAATTGGCAAGAAATATGACAGTAATAGCATTGTAAAGAAAAGTATACATAAATACAGATGGAAATATAGTTTGATTCCAATACTGTATCATGAATCTGAGAACAGTGGGAGAGACTGACCCTATGTGCTGGGGTGGGTAGTCTTTTTGATCTGAGGGACATTTTTCAGATCTCAAAAAGATGACAAAGTGGCTAACAGAAAGAGAAAACTAGTAGCTTTTGATCTTTACTGGTCTTTATCAGGTTGGGCACCATTTGTTTACTTATTTAAATTATTTATATGCCACCTTTCTCTTCATATAGATCCAAGGTGGCTTATAACTTTGGGCATGGATGATGCAGGAAAAAAGCACATTTTCTTGTTGTTGAACTATAAAAAGGTTTATTTCATTTCAGAAGCCCTCTGGCTAAAAAGTAAATTTTAAACAAATTAAAATTGAGATTATGGAGGTTGCATCAGGGATTCTATGAGCCCCTTAAAACATAGCAAAATTATGCCCATGCACCCTACAGGGTCCAACAGGGCTACTGAGACAAATTAAGAAAGAAAGAAAGAAAGAAAGAAAGAAAGAAAGAAAGAAAGAAAGAAAGAAAGAAAGAAAGAAAGAAAGAAAGAAAGAAAGAAAGAAAGAAAGAAAGAAAGAAAATCTTCATTAATTTTGGGAACCACTTCCCAAGTGTTCTTAGACTGCAGTTCCCTGAAGCTTCACCACCAGCTGTGCTAGCCAGAGTTTCTGGGAGTTTGTGGTCCAAGACCGCAATGTTGGAAACCACTGATTTACAATGTGTAGGTGTCATAAAAAGAGAGAAAAATGCTGAAACAGAGCTATATTATCTAAACTGCCAAAAATCACCTTCTTCAGTATGAGAAGTTTACAAATATTGAATTCACTGATCAACCAGCTGTTATTTATGGTGTTGTCAGTCCTTCTCCAGGCCTCCTGCATACACTTATGAGAAAGATGAAGAAGTAGGTCTTTCATTTGCATCAGGTTACTGAGAAGCTTTAGAAGAAGATTTTTGCCCTGCTAACTTATTCTTCTGATTATGTCCAAATGAAAATTATATGGAGACAGAGAATCTGTTTAACAGTTGACATCACCCTTGACAGATAGCCAGGGCACTTTCTTCTAGTGACCTTTCAAGTTGGCATGTTTATCAATGGTCTAGGCATAGGAGAAACCAAATTATTTAGGATTAAAAACAACCATATGTCAATAGCATTGAGATATATTTCACCAAAGAAAATGGCAGCCTAACAAGGAAAAAAAAAAGGAAAAAAAGGATTCAGCTAGAAGTGGGCTGAACCAATATTCAAACGGAAAATATATTATTGATCTTTATGGGAAATGTCAGCAGCTGCGGCATAGGTTCAATTAGAAATCTTATTATTCTAAGAAAATGAAAACTATTTTTAATCTGAATCTTTAAACCTCTGAAATTACTTTATGCACAGTTTCAAACTTGGGTCAAAGATATCTAGCTAAAGCCTAATGTTTTAAAGAAGGCTCCATCCACTTGAGTAACATTCCACAAAGAAAAATTATTTGAAAAAGTGCGGGTGGGAGAGAGAGAGTGTTGTGTTTATTCTGTCTCTCTGAAACCTGATTTTTCTGTGTCACAACCTGGAATTTTCAAAAAGTTTCAAGCAACTCATATTTGACCTCCAAGGCCACCCATGAGTTTATCTGAGGGAGAATGTTCATTTCTAAAACAAACAAACAAACAAAAAACAGGCGATCCTATTCAGAGACTCAGTGAATTGTTATGCAATTACCTGCAGGTATGCTGTCAGACTTGCCAATTCAATAATGGGATTCTGCTGAACTGTATGTGTAGCTCCTAAATGTGGGACCTCTATAAATGTTTTGGTAAAGCCATGCAAACAGCCATTCGAACTGTTATTAACACACCCGATTACAAAGAAGTAATAGGCAATCCCATAAGTGCCATTAAGCATCTAACCTGGCCCTCAGAATAATAATTCAGATCTCTTTTCAGTTTTATATGTATGATATGCATACTCACATACAGTATATAACTGCTTCCTTATCAGATCGTTTAATACAAATGTGCTATGAATGTGCATAAATATTATAATTATACATGCACACAAACACACGCACAACAAGGTACAGTCCTAATAACAGTTCTCAAATAACTCTTATGTTCTCAGGGTCCCTACTTTCTGGGTCACTGAACATTTAAAATGAATACTGTACTTTCAATATAAAGTGAAAGTGAATGATAATAAAGGATAATATTCCTATTAAGTGAGAAGTTCAGCTTAAGTCAGAATTACATGATGTGACAAGTAAACACATCTTTAAAAATCCACATTCACTGCTTCAAGTAAACTAACAGGAAGTATAGGTGGACATGAGGTAGGATGATGTGGCTTAGGTGATTAGTTTTTACTCCACCCCTTGCTATCCTGTTTCAGTCCTCACAACTCATGACCCCACTCCATGGGACCAAATTATTTAACTTCAGGCTTGCATCTTAAGTGCCATGAGACAGAGAGCCTAGAAACTAAGGTTAGGAAAAATGACTGAGGGAGAATTGGTTAAACACAAGTCCCACTGCAACTAATACCTCCCAGAGATGCTTACTTAGTCCTAAACAGCAGCAGCTGCCTTACGTTTTTTTCATTAAAAAAAAAAGACTCCAATCTTCAAGTTTGCTTTAATCACTTTCATTCTTTAATGCACATTTTGGCTAAATTAAATTTAAAAATCATAAGAAATCTGATTAGTCTTATCTGAGTCTTGCTGAGTCATTTTTATTCCCTGAAATTCTTGAGGTATCTGAATTGTGCATCACTATCCAAACTGTACTTGAAATACTACTTCTGTTGAAAGTAAATCTCAATTCTAATGATGAAACAGCATATTGAAAATAGGTAAGGGAATGGAAGCAGTCCCTAAAAGCTAATATTCACCTAAGCTGACAGATTTATATTACAGCATATTAAGTTATTAGTAATTAAAGAGTTATTAGCATTATTTTGCTATGAAAGTGCCATTTGAATTTTCTGCCATACATGCCAAAATATTCACCTTAGTCCATTCTGCACATCTCTTCACTGCTTCTATTAAACTGCCTTAAAAATCCACTGTAATCTCCTCTTTACTTAAAGAAGTGATGATAGTGATGAATTTTCAAATGTTAGTAAATTTAATTATATTAGATCATATTCATCATATAGATTGAAGATTTCTAGCTAGAATTCTTAATACTGCATAGAAAGATCAGGTTTTATTTTTCCCCAAGTGTTTTTTCCCATTAAACATTTTACTATCAGTATCCTGAATCAGTTCTCCTTTTGTTCTTATGTGCTCAAGTAGCTCCAATTTACAGCAACCCCATAAATCAGTGATCGTTGAAATGTTCTATCATTAACAGCAATACTCAGGCTCATAAATGTTGCTTCCTTTGTTGAGTCAATCCATATCTTATACGCTCTTCTTCTTTCCTCCTCACCTTCAACCTTTCCCAAATGTTTGGGCTCGGGAAAATCAAATTTTCATATAAGAAAATTATGTGTTTCATTATGGAATAAAGAGATTCCAGTAACCCAGGAATTTGGACAACTGAGCCAAACTAGAATTTGTGTTATGCTACCCATCCACCCTGCTCACTAACAACTCAAACAGGAATATTGTACACAATATATATGAGCAACCTTCAAGCTACCAGTCTGTGCTTTCATTTTGCAGCCAAAAAGATCCTGAATTTTTAAGGATGAATCTGCATTCCTTTTCATGGTTATTAGACTGAAGTATAATCTAGTCTCTAAAGTGGAATGTTAATTGAAGCTATCTGAAAAACAGAACCAGTTTGTGGAGGAGGTTTGGATTAAATGTTTTTTGTATATTATATTATTGCAATTAAATACTGGTTGCAATTGCTTGAAAAACACGCCCCAGTCCCGCATGAGGAATTCGATAGCAAGATGTTCACAGATGTCCTTAAATGCTCAGCAGTGTGTTGAGAGGAGGTGAAGAAAAAAGACAGTGTTTAAAAAGTTTCAGACAGAAAAGGCTGCACAGCCTAAAACTCTGCATGCATCTCATGAATGTTCTACTTTTCTCTTCTGAATACAGAGATCAATCCTGGACTGCATGTTAAAGCCTCACTATGAAGGACTATTCTCTGCTATTACTTCAAGCTGGAACAAAAGACACTTCAGGAGATATAATCATTGCTGCCTAGTTGTTTTCTTGAGACCCCCACAATGGCTTTCAGTTCCCCCTTTTTTTCTTTTTTTCCCTCTCTCTCCCCTCTAATTTTTATTTCGTGTGTGTGTGTGTGTACATCTTTCTCTTTTATTTCCTTCTGCTGTCTCTTTACACTTCCTTTATGCCTCATTGAATCCATTAGAGCCTTTCTATTGAAAAAAATAAATTTTCTGTATAGAGTTAGTGACGGGGTCCTAACTGCTGGAAAGCAGAGCTTAACTCCTTCTGGTGGGACTGCTACAGAATTAGAAGGAAAAGGTCCATCAGCACTGTTTGCAACTTTAAGAGCATGTGAAGATGGCACACTTCTTCCACTTCTTCCCTGCTCTGTCGTTTTCCTGTCTTCTGCCTGTACAATATGACTGCCAATTTCAGCCTTTCAGTAGTTGCATGAAAATGTGAATACATCTGTGCCAGATGCCAGCATCCCCAGAAAACAACAATTGTTTTGGTACATAAAATTTCATGATAAAAATGCAGAATTCTAGAGTACTTTTGTCACATAATAGGGACAGAAAGTCCAGGCTACAAGAGATGACATATAAAACACCACAATAAACCAACTCAGTTAAAATGGCTGGCTAGGTAGTTCCTGCAGTTTTACACCAATCAGTAAGGTGCTTGAAATCAAAGGTTTTGTGGACATGTGTATAAAAATGGATTCTAGTGAAAACATGCTTGATTTAATGTTGGAGCTTCATAAAGGGAATAAATCTGTATTTTGAACATGACATTTGTAAACTTTGCTGGCATTGCTAGTGCCAGTCTGGGTGCAACAAAAACATGGTTGAGTAAGCCAAGTTCATTAAGCACAAAAACTCCATAATGTCTTACTTAACAGATTGTACACTCAGTAATTTTCATTAGTATGCTATGTAACGGGCAAGAACTCATTGACTAGTGTGCAAAAATCTCCATAAAGACAGAAAATTTGAAAACCATTGATTTTGTTGTTGTTTAGTCATTAAGTCGTGTCCGGCTCTTCGTGACCCCATGGACCAGAGCATGCCAGGCTATCCTGTCTTCCACTGCCTCCCAGAGTTGGGTCAAAATAAAAAACCCACTGATACTGCACATCAATCAACAAACAGGGAGAAGAGAGGGGCTTTCCAGTACATGGTATGTGCCAACATTTTTAATGCTCCATTGCAGTTTCTTTGTGAAATCATGTTAGATTCCTTGACTCTGCCAATGGAATGGCACAGTATAAACTGAAGGCCTTTTAGATTAACATGTTATGTCAAAGGCTTTCGATGTTCATTCATACTCCAAAATACCAGTAAACGTTTGCTGTTAGGGCCACATACTTAATGAAAATGTTATTCAGCTAATAATGATATGATATGATGTCATAGTCCAGTTCAAACTGGAACTGTGATTAGTTCCAGTTTCCCCTTGGAGCTGTCACTCACTGCAACAGACACGTACTGTGATTAGTTCCAGTTTCCCCTTGGAGTCAGATAGCTGTCACTCACTGCAACAGACACGAGCAATGCTAACAAGAGTTAGCATGCATGTCACTGCTGTTGTCTATGAAAGATTCTCTACCAGTGTCACCTTCCACTGCCACTGATACCCAGCAGGCATGGGACGTCAATATTTCTTACACTGCAATTCCCAGAATTCACTAAGAACTAAATCCAAAGAAGAGTTTTTCACTACACACATGTAGGCATCAGTAAGTGACTGAAGCAACCACTTGCCATTTGCCAGTCCCACAATTCTATAATTGCCATACAGGATAAACTCATACATCGATAACTATGGTGCCCCTGTAGCTCAGTAAGTTTCAAATTCTAAATTACAGTTTTAAACTTTGAATTTTGAATTCTCTGTAGATATTCCCTTATGTTGCCAGGGTATTATACTGTAACTGTGTTAGATGTATTCCTATGGTTTTATATTGCAATAAAGTTATTCAGTCACTCACAGCCATTTCCTGAAGTTTCCAGAATTCTGGCTGGTGGGGATTCCCAGAAAATTCAGAGGACATCAAAGCAAGAAATACTGAAGTTCTTTGTTTAGTGCCCAATAACTGCCCTCCAGGAGTGTCTCTGACCCCATCAACGACAGAAGTATCCATTCTCTTTTGCTGAGGGACAGGAAGGATAGCCCCCCAACCCTCCAGGAAACCCACAAGGATTGTTGTTTCCCCAACAATAATGGCAGCACTAACATCGCCAACAGAAAATTACTAATTGATCGGTGTTGCCGGGTGGTGGGCTTTAGCTTACCCTCCTTTAATGCCTAAAGAAGTGTTCTCACAACTCTAGCAACCATATGTGCATGCATGCACTTTCAGACACATATGTAAACTCCCCCCTTCAGGCCAACAAGGCCCAAATGTTGTGCACTCCTAGACCACAGCTTGCAGCTTTTATCTCAAGACAATATTAAGACACTATCATTATGAGGGAAAGTTCCCTCTGTCGTATTGCCCTGAATCATCAATAATGAATATCGAGTGATTCCATTCTGTAGGCCTCTATATGGTGGCCATTTCACAGTTTCATTACTATTTACAGAAAACCCTTTTGTATTTTGATACAAGTGAACTCTGGCAGAGGCACCCAAAGAAGGGCTTTGGCAGGATATCAAGTCCTGATTGATATAACCTCCTTAATCTTCTTGTAGAATTGAGCATGTTGATGTAAGTTGATGTTGCTTAATTTTTGATGGAACAGTTCTTGTAGTGTGCTTATCTTCACAACCAGCAACATTTTGGTTGCTTCTCATAACTTCTGTGTTAATGGAGTCATTATTATTAATTAACAACTTCATTATCAACTCTTGTAATAAATATAAATACCATTCTTTATCAGTTAATGAAGTAACTTATTCTCAAGGAGGAGGGAGATGAGGGAATCAGGTCCAGTTTAGAAACTAACAGTTTGGGAAGACGGTCTCTCAAATGAGTTGCCCATTGACTGAGTGCTATAAGAAATGCACTCAGCACTAGCTTGGTGACCCGTTTATGAATGCCTATTTTATATATATGTTGTACAGTATTGGAAACAATTGCCATAGCACTCTATAATTCTGGAGATTCTTGATCATTTAACTACAGATGTGAAGAACACTCGTTCTAGCATCTTCCATTTGCTTTGCTGCACTAAATAACAAAGATGAGGAGATAAGATCTCTTAATGCATTGCAGATAGGAAAGAACCACAATTTAATTCTTTATATAGTCTTCACTGATAAGAAAGGAAGCAGTGTTTCAAAGAACTACACTAGAAAAATGTTTAAAATTTTGAGGGTAATTTTAAAATGATGCATACTGTCTGTTCCACTGGTAGTAATTTTTATATAATTTTAAACGTAACTCTAATACAAATTAATATGATTAAAATAATTTAGGTAAAGGTAAAGGTTCCCCTTGACAATTTTTGTCCAGTCGTGTTCGACTCCAGGGGGCGGTGTTCATCCCCGTTTCCAAGCCATAGAGCCAGCGTTTTGTACCGAAGACAATCTTCCGTGGTCACATGGCCAGTGCGACTTAGACACGGAACGCTGTTACCTTCCCACCGAGGTGGTCCCTATTTATCTACTTGCATTTGCATGCTTTCGAACCGCTACGTTGGCGGGAGATGGGACAAGCGACGGGCGCTCACTCCGTCGCGTGGATTTGATCTTATGACTGCTTGGTCTTCTGACCCTGCAGCACAGGCTTCTGCGGTTTAGCCCGCAGCTTAATGAAGTTAAATTATCATAAGTAATTGTATAATTGATATAATTTGTTGTATAGGGCACATTGAAACAGTGGCTGTAAATTATTAAGTGAATTTTAATGTTTTTCTAAAGTTTTAATATTGTTTTATGCTACTCAGAGACCATTGGTAATGGTGTGGCTAAAAAAATATTGTAAATAAATAAATAAATACTGTATATAAATTGCTGAAAGCTCTCCAGTTTTCAAGATGAGTTCTATGTCATCTCTTTATTCATTTTATGAAGAAACTGTGGTCTGACCTCCTTTGGGAGGGTGGAAACCACTTTCTGTTGAAAAGAATCTTGGGGCACTTGTTGGCACAGTCTGGAAAAGTTACTTGTTTAGACTCCGACTTCCAGAATACCCCAGCCAGCATTTCCAGTGGTCATGCATGCACAGATAGGAAAATTCTGGGCATTGTAGTCCAAAACACATTTTCAACCTCCAATAACTTGGTGAAGGGTCATGGTTGTACACAGTGCATTTCATCAACTAAATCCAGTTGTTCTGAGACTGATGGATAGAACAAAAGACTGCTGTTAATCTAAGATACTAAATATGTAAATTTACAGGAACAAGCACAAGAAGAGTATTTGGCAACTTCAAATAGATTCTCATGAAACATTTATATTTTGCTTTTCTAATTATAATGACTCATCTTCATGTTTTACATTTGTATAAGAAGATGTTAATCTGATTTAATCATATGCATCTCCTGATTCTAATATGCCTCATTAGAGCTTTATTCTACAATGTGCCTGACACAAAAGGGCATGCATAAAATCATTTAAAAGAATGTCTTTTCAAAAACACTTTGTCACCTGCAAATTTATTTAGATAGATACCTGACACACAAAGACTTAAGATGGATCACATGAATTTTTTGGCAAAAGAAGCTGCAAATAGTTACACTGAGGAAGTCATCATCTGTATGATGGAGGAGTAAATGACAACATCTGTCTGCTTTGCTTTTTAAAACAATCCAAGCTCCAAATCTTTATACCTGGCCAGTGAACATGCTCACCTATCTTTCCCAAGAGCTCAGGCCTGTCATGATTTGTTTCATAGTCATTCCAAATCTGATTCCCTCAAATGCCTGCAGTGGGAAAGGGGAACATTGCCGACTGCCCCACTTTCCCTTGGTGTTTGATCCTCACCAACAGAGGTCTATGGCTGAGAGGGCAGAAGAGTAGCAGCACCCTTATTGCTGCCTACCTGCTCATCATTTTGCA